CAAACTATTTATCGAAAGAGCTTAATTTATCTCATAGCCTTGGTAGAGCTAATTAGAGTGCGTTAATCACAGAAAACAGGCGTTTTTGAAGCGCAGTAACTCCAAAAGCATTCAAAAGTGTCTAGAAAAAGTAACGCGCCTGCTTTTAAACTGCACTGGGTTCTGTGTGTAGCAGATATTCCAGACTTTGTTACGTAACTCTACAAAAAGTTTGGACTCGAAAGACTGCAGTCTTAAATAAAGAACGAACCATTGTTTGAGGCGTCCGTATAATTATGAACCACTAAAAATTCGCATTAGGCTCAAAAATACTCCTAAGATTGACATCAACTTCCATTCTTGTGGATCGTATACCGTTTCCGGCTGTGCTCTCTCGCGTGGTACGACTTTTTGAGTTTCTTCCAAAAAGTCCAAAAACGTTCAAAAAATTTGGGGTGTTCTTCTAATTATAGGGGACGAGTGGCGTAGTGGTGTGAGGCGCCGCTATGACCAGATCGGACGCAGGTTCGATACCCGCCCCCGGGCCAGCCAAGCCCTCTACCCTCCGGGGCCGGTAAATTGGTACCAGAGTAACCTGGGAGGATAAAAGACTGACTTGAAAACGGCTGGCCCACGCAAGTCACTGTAATAGGCTCGCACGCATACAATTGCCTCTTCGACTATGAAGTTAGTGTGTGCGTTCGGCGCATGCCCTCAAAGGGTATCGAAGACGCCGAATCCTTTATCCTTTTATCCTTCTAATTATAAAACGGTCTTTATTGTAAACGGCGAACCTGAACTAACACTGGGTCAAGCGTAGATGTGGCACGCCATACCTGGGAGTAGTAGGGAGTTGTCAGGGGAGGGGTCATCGTCGAGGTGTTACTGATGTTGAGATACCATGACATTCGTTAAAAATGTCAGACAAGCCCCTTATGCAGAGAACAAAACTGCGCGTATTGACCGACCTACCATCGTACACTTAGAGTAAGAGAAATAAGGAAGCCTTAAAAGCATGACAGCATCACCCTAGCTAGCAAGCCAAATAACCCTTGTAGACAGTACTCAAAGGTTTCTGAGCTTTTCCGATTTTGGACCCTTCAAGTGAAGTGACCATTTTAAACATGCCAACAATGTTTCAGGGTTATGTTGGCTGCTCCTTTTTGCCCAAAAAAGTGCAACTCCTTCTTTGCTCAGATTAGGGATCCCACTGCAAATAACCACGAATATATGGAATTGCGAGCAAGCTAAAATCTCGTTTGTCCAATGTGGCATAGGGTATGGGAAACGACTATACCTCTCCCTAGCAGAAAAAATTTTGGACGAAAGTCCCATGGAGGTTACAAGAGTGTGGCACAATTCCTCAAAAGTATAGAGCCACAGCTTTTTGAGTGTTTTGCACTCCATTAACTGATCTCTAAAGAGAATTTTAGCGTATCTTATATATAAAGCTGAATGTCTGTTTGTCTGTCTGTATGTCTGTCTGTATGTACGTATGTTCCGAATAGAAAATTCCATTTCTGAACCGATCCGGACCAAACTTGGCACACATACACTACGGGCCCCGGCGGGTGTCATAGGCTACTTTTCGTCATCGATCGATATCGATTTTATCGATTTTTATCGATTTTTTTGCTGAGTTCACCTACGGGGCTGGGAGTTGGCATAGGGGGGTAATCGAGCATGGGGATTCCGAATACAATATTGGTTTTCAGGATTATCGATTACTTTTATCGATTTTATCGATTTTTTTGCAAAGTTTGAGCTACGGGGCTGGGAGTTGGCACAGGGGGGTAATCGAGCATGGGGATTCCGAATACAATATTGGTTTTCAGGATTATCGATTACTTTTATCGATTTTATCGATTTTTTTGCAAAGTTTGAGCTACGGGGCTGGGAGTTCGCACAGGGGGGTAATCGAGCATGCTGATCACCCCCAAGGGGGGTGATCAGCATGCTCGATTACACCCCTTGCCAAATTCCAGCCCCCTAGCTCAAATTTTCAAAAAATCGATAAAATCGATAAAAGTAATGGACGATCCTAAAAACTAATATTGTGTTCGTAATCTGCATGCTCGATTACCCCCCTGTGCAAACTCCCAGCCCCGCAGGTCAAACTTTACAAAAAAATCGATAAAATCGATAAAAGTAATGGACGATCCTGAAAACTAATATTGTGTTCGTAATCAGCATGCTCGATTACCCCCCTGTGCAAACTCCCAGCCCCGCAGGTCAAACTTTACAAAAAAATCGATAAAATCGATAAAAGTAATGGACGATCCTGAAAACTAATATTGTATTCGGAATCCCCATGCTCGATTACCCCCCTATGCCAACTCCCAGCCCCGTAGGTGAACTCAGCAAAAAAATCGATAAAAATCGGTAAAATAGACATCGATCGATAACGAAAAGTGGACTGTGACACCCGCCGGGGCCCGAAGTGTATGTGTGCCAAGTTTGGTCCGGATACGGCGGAGCCGGGTAAGCCAGCTAGTAATTTATAAACAGTTCGATAGCCCAGATTTCGTCTCACAAGAATGATTCAAGCCTGGTTCATTTTCTTTAGTCTGTGTGATAGTTGCTGAAATCAGAACCACTAAAAACAGAACATGGAACAAGTGAGATTTTGGCCGGCTTCTATTTAGGGTTTAGGGTGTCTCATATTTTTTTACCATTTTTACCCTACACATCAGCATTTCTGGAGAACTGGGGCACCTACAAAAAGTACAAATACATGGTCGTACTTTTATATGTATGAGTTTACGATCACATGTGTGGGAGGAGCTCAGGGTTTCTAGGGGCGGAGTTTTCCATTTTACACCATTCATTTTTTTCTTTGTTTCTAGCCATAAAAAAAACGAAAAGTGTACGATTGAATGTTCGATGTGTCAGGCATATGCTAGGATGGGGAATATTTGAGATTTTTCAAGGCCAAGATATGATTTTTTACGGTAAAGTTCATGTTTGACTGCTATCATATTTCAGCTCAAAACTTCGTGTGGAAAACGAGGGCAGATTATTAGTAGCCATCTTGTATAACTTGCTTTGCGCTGTTGAATGATTATTTAAGCCACATCAATTGATGGAAAAATACAAAAAGACGACGTATGTAATAAAAACGTTAAAAAATCATGGGACACCCTAATAATTCTAAGATCTGAAACTAATTGTTATTCGAAGTGAAATTCCTCATGTGGGGAAGATAAACTAGCGCTTTGTACTGTGTACAAAAAAAGGTAGCTAACTTACCTTTAAAATAAGCTTAATATGTTTGAAGATGAACATCTCATTTGAATGGCCAAATATTGGGAGCCTCCAGAATTTGCTGAAACTTGGCCCACAGAGGTTATTTGACATGCTAATTACGAATTTGTTACTTTATGTTTGACCTCAATGTTATGCCTACGGTAAGCAGACGATAATGCCAGGAGTGGGAGGGGGGTCCCGGCGGTTGTGTACCACCACACTCCTTGCTCAACCCTGGCTGTACAACATACTTTTGTGTGATACTCATTCAGTAAAGGGCTGCGCATCTTTTTCTGAAGCTCTCCGAAAGAGGCAAAACCTCTCAAAAGTGTACTAAGGTTTAGCAAAATTTGCTCAGTGTATGGCAGGTTCATTGAAAAGTATATTGAAACTTGAACTTTATGGAGGTTTTTTGCGAAGATGTATTACCAAAAACTGAAAGTACCAAATTTGTTCTGCTTTTCTTAAAAAAGGCAAGGAACCGTGTTTTTAAGACTTTTCATTTTTCCTCCTCTGACAATGAGAAACAAGGAAATCTTGCCGTTTTCCTATCATAAGTTACTAAATTCACTCTAGGTTCCGCAGAGCCGAGGTCTTGCAATCGTCTTTCACTTAAGATTTTTACACAGCTCGAAACGGTCCCAACAATCAGTAAAGTTTATGTCAAAGCTTCTCTTCTCAAGATCTCTTAGAAATATTTTTGAAGGCCTGAAAGTTCGGTATAGACAAGAACTCCTGAAGAGGAAAGTATACATGAAGAACTAAAAGAAACTGGTTTTCGGTAAAAGTTTCCAAAAAACGATTTTATTTCAGAAATTAGCGTTTAGAAAAAGTGGCAAAAAGGTACTTCAACTACTATGAACCGCCTGTTACCCAAATTTCACGCGTAGACGCACCTTTTCGGGTTTTCAAGCGCGCTGCTCAGCCGTCTCGTTGTGTTTTGGAAAAACGAAACTTATGGCGCACGATACTCTCAGGCAATATGCAGCACTGTAGATAGTTATTTGGTCGCGAAGTCCTTCGGCGTGTCTGTGCGATTTTAGAAAAAATTCCTAGCGTCCTATTTGCGTAAAATTAGGGTACTACAAAATTTTCACGATATTTTCTTAGACCTTAATTGTTAATATGTCGGCTTAACCGATCAACTCTCAATTTGAAGGCAGTGTCCGGGCGAAAACTCAATTTTGAGATTTTGTGCATACCCGGGTCTATTCGCTACGCTGAATCCGAAAATGCATACTGGAGAGCGCGAAAACGACGCAAAACGGCTCTAACACAGGAGGGAAATCATCAGGTGAGCGGGGTCCTCCCCACTGTGAATTCACGCTCCCAGCATCCGGAGCGATCTTCTCACTCCCGGTTTTGCTACAATCATTCGCACTTGGCCAGTAGCGATGTTAGGACGGCTAGCAAAATCGAGAAAACCGTTCCGGAAGCTGGGAGGGTGAAATTCATAGTGGGGAGGACCCCGCCCACATACTGATTTCCCTTCTGTGTTAGAGCCGTTTTTCGTCGTTTTCGCGCTCTCCAGTGTGCATTTTCGGCTTCAGCATAGCAAATAGGCCCGGGTGAGCATAAAATCTCAAAATCGAGTTTTTGCCCGGACACTGCCTTTAAGTGGCCTTTCCGAAAACATAGAGCATAGGAGCATCAATTTGCAAAAGGTTTGCACTAATCTTTGTGCATGAGGCAGCAATAAATTGATCATCTCCTAAAGGCAAAGGCGTAAACCTGACAATAAAGCTTTGGTATCCCGTGGCCTTTTACCTTTAAGATGTCAAGCAAAGTAGCTCGAATGTCGAATATCGTTTGAAGCCGTGCTGCGTTCTGACGGAGCACATTAAGAATATCCGCCTCCTCTCTGAGTATCTTCGGTATAGAGATAGAAAACAAAGGATTGTTCACTTCGAAATTTCCAAGATCAGTGTGAGTAACCTGCAGCACCAAGCGAAATTGCACTCAAGCAGATAAACAAGCAGTAGTTACCCTTCCGAATCGCAATCCGTGGTCCCCGAGAATTACGACAAAGGAATTGTCTAACTAAAATATACTATACAGTGTACGAATCGTTTACTCCAACCAACCTTTTTCTTATTTCGAAGAAGAAATCGGAAAAAGTCTGAGTCTGCGTGAATAGTACCACTTTCATGATCATGACCAAGCCCTGTGAGCCAAATCCAGGCAAATTTTGGGGTGTCTGAAGAGTTGAATAGATGTTACGCAAACTTTTCTTCTACACCTTACCTCCATAAGCATTGATGAAGTCTTGTAGCCAAAGAAGGATATCTCTAGGCAGCTCAAAGCAATTAGCTTTGTTGTATGTTTTCTTCAGATTATCGTTTGCATGTCTCCATGCAACATGAAAAGCCCTAAAATAATATTCCACGTTCGGGTGTTTCTTAAATTTTGCATGATGGATACTTGTAGCTGAGACTGACCGTGCTTCCAAGGCTAAAGTCTTTATTCGCTAATGTTTCGGCGCTTTCGCCTTCGTCAGAGCCTGGAAGCCGAAAGCATATGGAATTAATCGCCCAGACGTCAACAAAAGACCAAACTATTATTCGAAAACAAAGTTAATGTTAAGCCAGACCATAATCACAAGTATAACATTCCCCTTACACACCACAAGATGGGAGTCCTTGGACTATTTATATACAAGACTCTACCTCAGCACTTTCATACGTGCTTTGATGACCCGGCCATTGAATCCGCATAGGGACTGATAAGGAGCGAATTCTCTCTTTATAGCGGTACACTCTTCTTTCTTGTTCATTTTTAGATTTTTGGCGCTGATCAAACGGCTCTAAGTTTTGTGCGTTAGGCCTCTAATGGTGTGTTTTTGATAATCAAACCGTCTATATGCTCTTTGACGCGACAGCGGGCGTCTTCTTTCGCCAATGTAAGTCTTCCCACATTATAAGCATGTAATGAGGTGGATAATCTCGGATAGCTTACAATCACTACATTACCGAACGGGCAAACCACGCAGTTTGGAGTAGTACATATACGGTCATAAGCCCGATTGCGAACAAACTGCCGCTTGAGATTAGCGGGAGCAATATTGGCCACTCTTGCAACTCCGTGCAAACCCGCCCCATGTACCCATCGCGGCACTGCCTTGCTCAATCCATCAGAAATAAATGACAGGAAGAAGGGGATCTCGTTGTCAGAATTCATATCATGGGCCCTGCTTCGAGAAAACCTGCGTGCTCCGCGGCTCAAGTGTAACAGAACCATTGGAAGCTGCAATTTTTTGTGCTAAGGTGCTATGACATAAGCACTGACAACGAGATCCCCTTCCACCTGCCATTCACTTCCGATGAATTGAGGAGACATACATCAGGCTGGTTTGCACGGGGTTGTAAAAGTGGTCGAATTCCTCCCGCTATCTCAAACGGTAATTGGTTCACAGTCGAGCTTATAACTATAAGTATTACTCCTAGCTGCATTGTTTGCCCGTTTGGCAGATGTGGTAACTTTATGCTATCCGGGGTTATCTACAGCATTACATGCTTATTATGCGGCGGCACTTACACTGGCGAAACAGGACGCCTGCTGCCCGTTGAAGAGCATATAGACGGTTTGAATATGAAAAGCACGTCATTAGGGGAATATCGTATGACGCGCCATGGGAAAGCTTAATTGCAAGTTACTGTAATGATCTTGTCCTTAGGCTGGGTTCATACTGATTCCCATGTTCCTGAACTGTTCCCGCACAGTTCCCGCACTGTGCTGGAACTGCTCCGGAACTCTGCATGCGCTGCAGCCGTTCCGCACGCATTTTGAATGGCAGGAGTTGGAGAATTTCAACCGTTTTCAACAGTTTTCCTTCCAGATTTTTCCCATATTGGCCTTATTTCTCTACCCCACTTCTCCTTGTGATGAGAAAAGCTGTGAACTTGAAACGGGGTTGAGAAATGAACGTTGTTTCTCCCTACTTATCCGGAACATGCACATGAAAGAGAACAGCGTTCTTCCTTCAACTTCGCTTCAAGTTCGCAGCTTTTCTCATCATTAGGAAAAGCGAAGTGGAAGAGAGAACAGAGAAGCAACGATATGGAAAAAAGAAAGGGCTGAGAATGCTCAAAAACGAAATTCATCAGTAAACAAGAGCAGAGTTTCCATTTCCGCAATTTTAGAATGTTCGCATGTCCTGATCCGAGACAGATGCCTGCGGAATACGCAACGATTTGAGCAAAAAGAAAACGAAGCGAGAATGGACAAGCGCAAGAACAGACATTTTGTCGGATACGCAGAGCAGAGAAGCGCTCATTCTTCAACCCCGCTTCGAGTGTGGAATTCTGCTGATCAAAAAGAGAAGTGAGGTAGAGGAATAAGGCCAATATGGGAGAAATCTTGAAGGAAAACTGTTGAAAACGGTCTAAATTCTCCAACTCCCGCCATTCAAAACGCGTGCGGGGCGGCCGCAGCGCATGCAGCACAGTTCCAGCACAGTGCGGGAACTGTGCGGGAACAGTTTCGGAACATGGGAACAGTATGAACCCAGCCTTATAAAGAGATGTCTAGATGCTTTTGGATAAGCGCCAAAGATCCAAAAATGGATCATAAGGAGGAGTGTACCATATACTTGGGTCTCAATTGAAAAAGTTGATTATTCGAATGAAAAATATCATATATGCATTCAAAAATCGAATCTCCAAATAAAATTTATAAAACTCTAGTCACGAACCATTTCGAACCAATTGCGAAAACTCGAATGATCAAAAAACTGGGTTTCCAATGGATATGGATTTTGGTTTATTGCTCTTTTGATCATTTAGATAAATCCCACTGCCACTGTCATCAAATCAGCAAAAAAAAAACAGCTATCGAATTGAAACTCATGTTTGATTTAGTATACTAAAATGTGTTATACGTCGCTTTCTCTTCCTCTGCGTTACTCATTGAGTGAGGGCGTTAATTATCAAAGAATCTACTTTATCGATTTTATCGATTTTTGGGAAACTTTGTGCTACGGCGCCGGGAGTTGGCATAGGTAGGTAAGTGCCAGGGCTCAGCAGGGTCGCGCTTTCACAGGCTCGATGTCGTTTTTTTTTCAGAGAAAAACAAAAGGGAACTCGTAATGTTCCCAGGAGTGGTTCTCGGAAATCTGATACAACGTTAGCAAGCACAAAGCTACAGTTGCTTCATTTCATATGATCACGTGTGCCATTGCACACACAGTCCACTTTGGCGTCCTCACCCTGGATTTGCAATCGCAAAAACGCAAGAGACTTAAGTAAGCTCTTATTTCAACTCCGATGTCGCTTTACCGTAGCAGGTAGATTAACAGTTACAAACATGACAAGTGCTTAGACCCGTGTGCACACGATTTCAACGCGTTGACAATCTCTATGCACAGCAAAATAAATAATCAGTCTGTTTACAAACGGTAAGCAATGGGCCACCAAATTTGGTGTATACTTCCGCATCGACGATCAAAAGGAAAGTATAAAAAATTATTAAAATATTATGTGATCGGAAGGAGCTGTAAGTGTTTTTCTAACTTAGCTTGCTCCCGCGCAACCTGGGAGCATCCTAAGTGTGCGCGAAACCAAACAAAGTCATAATTTTCTTCCTTCTTCATATAATTTTTTAAATTTTTTCATATAAGTCTATTCCTCATTTCAAACTCTACCTATGAATACTTACCATGACCCAAATTTCGACTCTTCTGTTTTGCTACAATGTTGCTGTTTTATCTCCGAATTTCCTTGCCTGTTTTCAACTTCGTTCACTCATCGTTTGCTGTAGATCTTTAGCCGTGCTTCTACAAATACCACAAAAGGTATTTCGTAATTTTCTATAATGTCAAAGGGGACTTCGTTTTCGAAATTCTCAAATGTCACCTCCTGCTGGTCCCTGATGAGTGTACTGGTTATAAATTAATCTGCTTTAGCGGCTAGTTCAGCAAATTTTAGATATGGTTAACATTTGATTATTTATTCAATCGACTCTCAATGTTCAAGAGCGATATTTTTTTATTCGATACTTTTTATTTTCGAATTTTATTCGGAGTTCAATCATTCAATATTTACGGATTTCAAACCAAATTTCGAATAAATTTCTCTTTTCGAGTTTATTCGATTCATTCATTCGACAAGAAATTTCGAATTTTTACAAATATAGTTCACCGCCATAAAAGGGAACTCGTACCTTATCAGCCAATGGGGACTACAAACGCTAAGGCGCTGAACGTTAGCGAATAAAGAACTTATTATTAACCTTGGAAGTTTGCTCAATTGAATCAACTACGAGTATCTTAGAATAATTAATTCTTTTTAGAAAGAAAAATCAGTTAAGCAGATTACCTTGTGTCATGGTCTGTTTGCTGTTTTTTGAATCCCAAGCATTTTGGCCAAGCAGTAAGAACTCCTCCCCCCGAGTCTTCACCCAGCAAAGTCTGAAGTGTATTTTTGGCAACTTACCAAAGCTGACTTTTGGTTATGAGAAGCATACCTTGTAACCTCGATCAGAGAACTCTCTGAATAAAAATGTCTCATTGTCTAAATAACTCTTACACCAGCGTTTATAGGTCCAGTCTGGTAGAATGTCAGGTAATCCAAAAAGTTTCCTGTCCACTAATTCCAGTAATTTCCCTAGTTTGTAATCTTATTATTAGAGAATTTGGAATTTCCAACTTTCCAACTTTTATTTACCAAACCACAACGCTATTGCATTCGGTCGGCTATTCACGCCAACTTTATTCATGTATGGAAAGGTCACTGCTTGCATAGAGTTCTCGAAGAAATGCATCGTTCGCGGCAAATTTCTGAAATTTCTTTTCAAGACACAAATCGTTTTCGTAGATATTATGGGCCGTCCGCGCTATGCTTGGAGAGCAGCGCTGTTGCGTTTATCAAAGATAGTTTATAATGAAAGAGTCGCAGAGAAAAAAGCGGTAAGTGTGAACGGGGAAAGAGGAATGGCGCAGTACACAACTTCGCGCCCTCTGCGGATGGCCCACATCTTTAATTATGCGCACTGAAGCGCCGTCGAACAGCATTGACGCGTCTGACTTGCGTTACATGAGCACCTTGCTGTAGCCGTCCTTACTGTCCTCACCTCAGTAGAAACTGGTGGACTTTATTTTGGAGTTGAAGTGGGGCAGGGTCCACGTTTAGCACGCATCATCATTGGCAAGGCAAATTACATTAAGGGTCCGAAACGGGAGCGCTCCTCCACTCACAGTGGACTGCGGTGAATTACCGCGAGGCGTTGCCTTTCCTCGGCATTACTAGTCCTAGATCAGCTTCCGCCGGCACTCGTAGTGCTAGTTTCTTATGATCAAGTCATGTATTTCATCCCACCTCCGCTCCGAGTCTGCCGCCGTGTAGCTTTAGCATCGCGAATTTCAGTGAGGCATAAAATTTGAGCGCGACGTGCGCGGTGAGTTCTAACTGGCCGACTAAAAATGCTACTCCCATAGTAATCCAGTTCAGATTCAAAATCGTTCACCAGCTCTGCTGCACTGACGACGATTATCCCAAGGAAGCAAAAGGTGTGACAAAGAAGCGCCAGATACGACTCTCTTTGTATCTTAATAAAACCACTTTGAATTACATTACCTACCAAAAAAGTCCAAGCATAATGACTATCATTTTCGTAGTTAGCATGCCAAATGGCTCCAGCAGGCAAAGCCTCAGCGATTCCTAAAGTTCATAAATACTGGGAATCCTAGATGAGATGATCATAATCTAACTTGGTTAGCTTTTTTAAGGCTTAGCTATCGTCGAGTCATTCTTAATTCAATATGCCTAATGCACACATGCACGATGACTGACGAACTGCAAAACTAGAACCTGTTTATTCCCCGTGATTTTTTCTCGTTTCCTTGTCTCTTTTGTTTTTATTGGTCATATGTTAGTCAATAGAACACATTTCTAAACTTTGTTAGGCTAGAAAATGTTTCACTGCGAAATTACTAGTAAGAGGGCCGTCGCTGATTGTACATAATGTGCAATCCCACACATTAAGTTACAAATGACTCGAGGTTACCTATTTTGGCATTGACAATGCTTCTTGTTTGCACACATCAGAAATGCTACCTTTGAACAAAGCAGAAACGTGGAGAGTAGCTCAGCCAAAATATCGTTTACCGCAGTGTTAGTATTTGATAGTGATGCTTCCAGCGACCGCTACCCAGACAGACGAAAAAAAATCATTCTCAATCACTTCTATAAAACCTTCTAAGCTTAGGACTAGTAGGGTGGTTTGAATTGAGTGCAAGAGGTAACTAGCTCACCTGTGAAACAAAGTACAATCAAGATCTGTGCAGTCGTGAGTCAAAATCAGTGCCGAAGCGTGGGATGTGCCACCGCAAACCACGCTTGAGCACAGAGCTTAATTGCACAAGTTCAACGTCTAAATTTCTTGCGCATGTAAAGACTACTGCGTGACGAAAGTGCAGAAGCAATATTTGAGCGGGCAATCCGACGCGCTATTCTCCTCCGTTGTAAATCCTGCACTTCATCCGCTCTGCGGCTAATAAAGCCGCGTTCGCGCCCAAAAATATTGCGCCTTCGTCAACACCAGCATATAGACGCACCTTATAGCTTGTGTATGTGCTGTAGAGTCAAGCAGGATAACATAGACGCTGTAGAAATTTCCGTCTGCATCTATCTTCTCCACAGTGTTATTGCTGAATTGACACCATTTTGAAGGCTAAGCGGGATATCTATTTACCTACACTTCAACAATCTGCAGATGAACCATGCGATAGGTCTCATTCCCCTTCTCGTTTGAGCAGGATGTCTCCACGGTGTCGCAGTGAAAATCAGCGTCGTTCACGTTTATCCATTCTCCAACCTTGTTCTCAAATTCAGTTATCCTTGTTAAACACCTAAAATCAGGCGTAAAACAAGATTTGCACCATTCAATGCAATTTCACCTACTCTCACTGTGAATGAACTATAAGTGCTTACGAGTGTTATAATTGCTAAATTTTTAGTACTCTTTACTTCGTAACTTTCAACCAGTCAGATTCTGGTTTTTGAGCAAAGTCGTTTTCGATTGCAATCACTTTATCCCTACCCTTCCCTTTCAGGCCCTGATTATCGACATCTAGTCGTCAGGATCACAAAATCAAACTCCCAAACCGAATACTCTGCATTTCATTGATCTTTATTGCTTGTGAAAAGTTTGTTTTTGGCAAAGCGAAAAGTGGCTTTTGCAAACTACATAAATAATGGAGCTAAGGAGTTCGTTGTCGACAACCTCGTCTGCGGGCACGCTCCCACATTTTCATTTCATAGTCGAACACGTTTCCATGTGAATACCAACCTTTACAATGACTTGCTGGGACAGCCGATTACCAAGTTAGGGCTTCGATCCTTTTAGATAGCTACTATTCCCGAAAGGTAAAAAGTTTGGTTGGCCTAGGAAGGGTGGTCGCACTTTGATCCGAAATGGTCACTGCAGCGTCTCAGCCGTTCGACCCCTTTTGCATAATAAATTATGTTTCCTGCTTGAAGGTTTTACCATCCGCCATTGTATTGTCAGACAACTATTTACACTTGCACATTTTCATTTAGTGTTAAATTGAAAGCAGCGGTATCTCACAGTGTACCACTGATATAGCAGCGTACAATTCCTTAGCTCTTTTGACTGAAATGACGAAAAAAGTTTACTTCAAAAGAATTGATTGTTCTACTTGTTACTCGCAGATTTCTGTAAAAGGTATAGTTTCTGATTTAACCAAGGTGCGGTGCAGTAAATATGTGTTAAAGTTGTCTTCAATATAGGAAAAAATTTATCTCAAGTTTTGCACTACTCAGACAATCAAAGGCTCTCAGCCGGTCCCTCCAAAGCGCCGTTGTCTTATCGCCACCACTTTCGCTTCGCGCTGAAGACTTTATGGTAGCCCGCTCGCTGCCAGTTCTGGCATAGTTTCTCAGCGGGAAGAAAGTGGCGGCGACAGGGCAACGGCGCTTTTGATGGGGCGGCTGAGAGCCTTTGATTGTCTGAGCGTCCCCATCAACAAAATGCGGACCGTTAAAGATGGCACCAACCCAAAACTTGAATTACCAATCAGTCTAAAAGCAGGTTTCAGGAGCGGACCAACTGCGTTGATCCCAATCTCTTGGTCAAAACTTCTTCAAGCGTTCCGCTTCCTTTTAAGAGCTCCCCTTATCTGTTGATTGCTCTAGAAGCGAGGGGGGGGGGGTTTGGTAAAGCCAGCACAGCCAAAACACCCGTTAGAAAGAAATAAAAGTGCTGTATCGAATGGCATTCAACATTCTCGCTTGTTTATGTTCTAAGGGGTTCAGTTGGTTGAATATAAAATTTGTTATTACCAAGAAATAATTTCAAAATCGTGAAAGTGTGACCTGGAAGTTTGCTCTATCCATTCGCTTAGACCTTCTTCGCGAAATTATTTCTAAAGTTTGGAAAAACAAGTTGACTATGCCAAAAACCATAAGTTGTAGATTCTGTTTCTGAGGTCTCGTTAGTTAAACTCCCACCATTCGGGTATCCGTAGCTTCTCTAGATTCTCATTACATTTGTACGCATTTGATTTCATTTGAAAGGAGAAATCATGCGCTTTATAACTGCATGCAGCACACTTCCCATTATGCACATGATAGATAGAAGAAGAAGGCAAACTCGGATGCCATCTTCAATTGTTATTTGGGCGTCTGGTCAGAGAACAGGTTCGTGAACGCGAAAGCCCAAGCGTTGCGACCGCTCGAGACTCTATCCGCCCAAATAGGGCTCACACCATATGAGACAAAGGATGTATTTTTCAAAATTCATGCGAGTTAAAGTCAAGGTCTAGATCCACAATGTTGCACAACAAACGCTGCCTGAATGTGATCCCCATGCTCAAGATACCCGGATCCCAAAAAAGTTTGCGCCATACAAGTCCATGCGGCTTTTATCTCGCAAAACTGGATCAGTAATGATTTCTGCAACATGATGAGATTGTTTAGAAATCATGTCCGCAAGCTTTCGATCCTTTTCTAGAAAGTGATTGAAAAATTCACTTTTTTCTGCAAAACTACTTTTTGCACAAACGCCGTTAAGAAGTTCACAGCGTAGAACTGTCGGTTTGATGGCCCAAACCTCCGCTACTTCGACTCGACTAACGTGGGCCTAATTTTTTCGGGTCTCAGCGTACTGTCACAGGAGTGAGTGATTTGAAGCGATCCCTTGTCCGCATTGTCGATGATAAAACATATGTGCCATGTGCATTGCTGAGGTTTATAAAACTGACGGTTTCAACCGGGAGTCGCGCAACGGTACCCGGACAGCCGATTGCTGCCACAGTCAGCCGCCGTAGCTGCCGCCAAAGTTGTTGCAGATGGTGCAGTAATTACGCTTGTCGTTCAAAACTCTTGCGAAGAGGTTTCCTCGCACCTCGTTGCGCTGAAATGCGATATCAGCCTCAGAGATAGCCAATTATTCTCGATATTTATATCACAACGGCGGAAATCATAATTTCCTGAGATGCAATGCAAATAAACAAAGCTATAGAGTTGAGTTTGTGAACAGAAAATGACCACAATTCAGTCGTTTCGAACACGCAAAATACCCAGAATCTGAAAAATCCAGAAAATATTTAGTTTCTAAAAAACTTTTCTCTGGCATTCAACTTCAGAGGCAGGGTCTCTGTCAGCTAACAAGGGAAGGATACTCGGTCGAAGTGGCCATTTGGAATGAGCTGTATATTAGGAAACCGTCCTCCGTAAGGCAAACTCAAAACTACTTTCGCTAGGTGCCGAGCGGTTTTGTGGGGGGAGTTACAAGGCCATTTTCCTCCGGCGCAGCCAGCGCACCCAGTGATGAGCGAGGCGCTAGCATATCGCAGCAGTGTGGCAGTGGCGCAGTGGCAACGCAGCGGACTACGAAGCAGATGGTCGAGGGTTCGCGTCCTGTTGCTGCTATTTTGTTTTGCAGTTCTGTAAAAAGTCTATTGGGTGACAGCAAACGAGAAATACTATTTCTAGGCAGTCGAAACAAGCTAGTTACTGCAAAAAAGCCACTATTTCTGCAATAAGCTATAATCTTCCAAAATATGTAAATGTGTGGAGGTTATGATGTCACAACAAGGGATTCAAGTGATATATTAACATGTATGGAATACAACCACAAAATGCTCAAAGTAGAAGAGCTTCTCGCAACGCGCACATCGGATAAAATAAAACGATGACAATCAGCAGTTTCACAATTGCCTATCAAAGTCGGTGAAAAACAGTACTGAATAAAAGGATAAAGGATTCGGCGTCTTCAATACCCTTTGAGGGCATGCGCCGAACGCACACACTAACTTCATAGTCGAAGAGGCAATTGTATGCGTGCGAGCCTATTACAGTGACTTGCGGGGGCCAGCCGTTTTCAAGTCAGTGCTTTTATCCTCCCAGATTACTCTGGTACCAATTTACCGGCCCCGGAGGGTAGAGGGCTTGGTTGGCCCAGGGGCGGGGATCGAACCTGCGTCCGATCTGGTCATAGCGGCGCCTCATACCACTACGCCACTCGTCCCCAACAGTACTGAATAGTAGACTCGAATTCGCCGGGGTGGTTGTCAATGTATCCGGCTGCATCCATGGGTATGAAAGCAAATTTTTGAATTGCGGCGAGCAAAATTGTGTGTAAATGAGCGATAAGATCTTAAGGATGGAAGCCCTATGATGCAAGGTAAAGTTCAGATCAAAAGCCAATAAATGGGATGTGAATCGATTGCAATTTTGCAAGTGCGCGCGTTGCGAGAAGCTCTTCTACTTTGAGCATTTTGTGGTTGTATTCCATACATGTTAATATATCACTTGAATCCCTTGTTGTGACATCATAACCTCCACAGATTTACATATTTTAGATTATAGCTTATTGCAGAAATAGTGGCTTTTTTGCAGTAACTAGCTTGTTTCGACTGCCTAGAAATAGTATTCCTCGTTTGATGTCACCCAATAGACTTTTTACAGAACTGCAAAACAAAATAGCAGCAACAGGACGCGAACCCTCGACCATCTGCTTCGTAGTCCGCTGCGTTGCCACTGCGCCACTGCCACACTGCTGCGCTATTCTAGCGCCTCGCTCATCACTGGGTGCGCTGGCTGCGCCGGAGGAAAATGGCCTTGTAACTCCCCCCACAAAACCGCTCGGCACCTAGCGAAAGTAGTTTTGAGTTTGCCTTACGGAGGACGGTTTCTTAGTATACAGCTCATTCCAAATGGCCACTTCGACCGAGTATCCTTCCCTTGTAAGTCACAACTGCATATCTCTGGACAGGTACAAAAATAAAGCTAACTGTGTAGCAATTTCAGAGCTGTCAAAAATCAAAAAATGGTCCAAAATTCAAAAAAGCTATCCCCAATAACCAAACCGCATTTCACCTAGTGTTCATGGAAATGTCGGTATCTCTTCTAAGAATTTTGTCAAATCGAAAATTCCCTAAATACAGCTTCAACAAACATTTACTACATTTTGATGTCAAGAATGTAGAAGAAAAAACTACATTTCTTATCCATTCATTGCAGCTATTTATGAATTTTGGCTGTTTTCCGCTTGTATGGTTTTGTATTCGATTGCATAGTTTACAGTAAAATAGTTTTGTGTTCAAAACAATATGGATATCGAGGGTATCAGGCTATCCCTGAGGCTAATGCACCTCAGCGCGACGAGGTGTGAGTCAACCTCTCGTCAAGAATTTTGAACGATTAGTTAATTAGTGTACCATCTGCAGCGGCTTTGCCGGCAGCTTCGGCCGCTGGCTACGGCAGCAGTCGGCTGCCCGGGTACCACTTGCTACGCATTCGTTCCGGGTGCGAGAACTAGGAAGGTAGGTAGGTACGTTACGTTTCAACTGCGCCTAGCACAAAATTTTTGCCATTTAGCCGAAAG